GGATCATGGGAAACAATAGTTTCACACCGTTCTCATCTCTTGTCGGCGTTCTTACTGCCTGAAAAAAAAATTCAATATTTTAGAGACAATTTAGAAGGTAAATAAAGCAAATAATTAAAATTACATTCATTTAGTATATAGAGCCGAATCTCTCAACAAAAAATATGCACTTTCAAAGTACTTTTTAAGCACAAGAAAAAATATTTATAAGCACCATGTACATCAACAAAATGCAAAACAATTTTCAAAGACTTTACATGATCATGTTAAAATAACTAGTTTCTGACAAAGAACTCTTTTTCTTGATTATATTAGCCACCATAAAAAGATCGAGAGATTTTTCAGTTTGATATTAGAAGGTGGAAAATGAAGCTTGAAATTGAGAATATCTTGCAAAATGCAGCAGAGTTGCAAACAAGAGTGCAAGAATCTCAGCGAACCCAGCTCGGCAGTAACTCCCAAGTATTTCATCAAATGTCAAATTAATGGCCTTGGCGCCATCATAAATTATGAACCGACGGCACGTCGAAATAGATTGTGGTTGAATGAATTGTACAAACGTTGCATTTGCAATTGACATTGCAAAGAAAAAAAAAAATCTAATTTTCGAAAAGGGAAAATTAAGCACTCTCTAAAAACACCCCATGAAAAAAAAACACCTTTAAGGGCCTTTTAAAAATGAAAATGAACACCTTTAAGCACTTTTTAAAAAATTATACCATGGTATATAATCGCAATTAAGGAATAAAATAATAAGCTTTTGCTAAATTGAACTAACTTGCTACTTTTACTATTAGTTTAATTGGTCTGCCACTTTTCTTTAAGAGGTTCAAACAACAACCCTTCAAAATAATTAATAAATAGCATTTTTCATTAGTACTTGAAATCTAGAAATGCCACTTATTAAAATATGAGATAAACCAGACTACAACATGTTCAACCTGCAATCATTCTGCTTAACTGTACAGTTTGTGTTAAATACACAGTTCCTTAAAATCTTTATCAAAAATGAAAACAATAAAGCATATAAAATTGAAAATTTCAAATAGGATTGAAATTTGATAAATCACTGCATGATAAAGTTTCTACAATAGGAGGATGAGAAGCGCATGAAAAACTCAAGAAAGATGAGAAAGGTGATTAATTTTTAAAAGAAAATGACTAAAAGCTGGCTCATTTTTCAAAAAATTTTCTGTAGCCTTGTAATTTTGAATCAATCCAGAAGACAAGAGAACTCCTGGATCAGTACCCCCAACGTATGATTTGTTCTGGGAACATCAAGAACTGTGTGGCCCGACAGACTTAACATGCATCAGTCACCATTTACAACACAATCAGTCCTTGGCTGGCGAGGATCGTACCCACGACCTTTTGGACATGAACCCAGTGCCCTAATAATCAGGCTATCCCAGCCGAAGATGTTGTTAAGAATTGTTAATATTGGGGATTTTTTAAAAAATCTCACAATTATTTTTTTAAAATATTTAAACTAATGAAGACGGTTTAAAATTAAAGCTTTGCAGATTGAGTTTTAAAGTACTCAAACCACAGCTCTTTTTATTCACTGTCAGGGGTTTGTCCAACGTAAATTTACTACTGTTCAGCGGTACCTTCACAAATTCAACTTTAGGAAAAACGGTAGTTTTACAAAATACTTTTAAAAAAGCCAGTTCTCATGCAAACCCTGTTCTCATTGCAATTTATGGAAAAGAGGAGCTTTTCTGCCAGCTGTCTTTTACGATAAGGTAGCATGCATTTGGTCAGATAGTGTAACGTGGTAAGCCTAACGGGTCATATCAAAGCGAGCTTTTTATTTGCTAAGCTTTTTAAAATGAAACGATGAGCCCTCTATAAACTTAACAGGAAGTCAAAATTCGAACATTATCCTAAACACTATTGTAAATTTATTCTAACAGACCTTTATTTTTTATTAAATTTTTTTTTCCCTGTGACACTTTCATTTGTTTGACTCAGTCGAAAATGTTTTCATAATTAAAATAACTTTTAGTGCTAGTACTGTTAAAGGCATGCTTTTATTAAATTCAAGTTGAAATTAACCATGAACAATGATTTTTAAATTTGGGTACAATTATAAGTTCAAGATTTTACAACAGCAAAATTATTTTTGAACATATGGGGGAAAATATATAGAAAAATTAGCAGTCATAAATAATTTTTATCTGTAGTGACAATTTTTGAAAATATTTTCTTACTTTACCATATTTTTGCGTTGATTTTTTAATATAATTTTTAATTATGTCTAAATTTTCACAAAATAGGTACCTCTCAAAAAAACTTAGACAGACCCTGACTGCGCTGAAAGAGGCACCCAACTTGTTGGAAAGAGGACAAAAAAAGTCAAAGGAGTTCCACATAAATACCAAATTGCAGTAAAGAAAGAGTGAATGAATGAGCATACCTGCCGAATGTTCATGAATTCCTTGATGGCACTTTCATATTTATTGCTGTCTTCACTATAATGCTCTAAAATGAAATCCTGAAAAAAGGCATTTTTTTTCAATAATAGCAGAACAATGATATGCACAGAAAGGTTAATTTTTCCCCAGTAAATAAAGGTTACCTTGAAGGGGTCAGAAAAATCAATTTCTTTTGTTTCTTTCAATCCAAGTGGAATCATTGGCACAAGTTGAGGGGTACTAAAAGAAAGAAAAAATATTAATATAACATTATACAGGATTGCCAATTAAATCTAGAAAAAAATTTCCCTGTATGTATTATACACAATATACTAAGACGGAAGACACAATTACTCAGCTATTGAGTGACCTACATTAATCTAGCTATACTAGTTTTAATTGATGGAAAAATTTAGAGAAATAAGGAACAGCTTAAAATACTTAAAACAAATACAGCTATAGTAAATGGAATAGTTTAATATAGCTGAAATATCATTCTTAAATATCCCATTGGTTACACTTTGAGTGGTCACCACTTTTTAAAAGACAAAAATAAGTAAAAAATTCCCTGTATTTTACCAGTTTGTAAGGAAAAACTCAAAATTCTCTGCATTTTCCCTATTATTTTAAGGGATTTTTCAATTCCCTGTATTTCCCAGGGTTTACCTGTGGAGTGGAAACCATGTTATAGTTGCCAAATAACTGTAACTGACTGTTTTGAAAGTAATTTTTCATGCATGAGCCGTGATGGCTCAGGTGATAGAGTGTTCGCCTTCCAATTAGGTCAACAGGGTTCGAATCCCAGCAATGGCTGGTCGATACGAATGCCGCATCCGGCTTGCACCGACCACAGTACTCACGTACAATATCCTCAGTGGATCATGGGTTAAAGTCTCCTTGCTGCATGGCTAACCGGAGCATGTTTTCATGCTTTTCTTTCCCACATAACGCAAATGCGGGTAAGTTCCATAAAAAAAATCAAGGCAAATTTCTCGCTGTACTTGATCGAGGAATTCCCTTGTCTTCTGAATTGGATTCAAAATTACAAGGCTACAGAGTTCAATTTTAGTAGTCATAAACCCGAAAAATAGAGTTGGCTATTCAACGTCAGTTATAAAATAAAATGTTTCGCAAAATGCAAAATTTTGCTTAAACAAGTTTTTTTTACTGGTGAGATTTATTATTTTATAACGAAAATTGTAATAAGAACAAATATAATTTAATATTTTTGAAGCCAGGAATGAACTGGGATTCTTTGGAGGTTGGTGGTACAAATTTTAGGGGGCACCGTGCGCTATATTTGCTAAGCAAATTGGAAAATTTAAATTTTGAATTCCTACAATAGTTATACAGTTTTTAAATTTATTTGAATTATTCAATTTTTGAAATAAATTAAGTACAAATAAATAAATTATAGATTAAAATTGAAAATATAACGAAAGAAACACAATTTCTCAGAAAAATTTTCAAAAGGATTTTTGTTCTTTAAAAATTAACCTTAACTGAGACGTAACTGCAGTTTGTAAGGAAACAGAAGTTGAATGATCTCCTACGAGTTAAGAGGTTCAAATGTATGTGCTGTTCCTTTTCAAAAAATTAATGTTTCGTTTAATCTTATTTGTTATGTTTTTGTTCAAATATTTATAAAAAAAAAGGAATAGGAGTTAATTCCTTCAATGGCAGACCTTGTTTATTTTTAATAATGACATATTTTTTTTTTCAAGAGTAGCGATTTTTCGAAGCGAAAGAAAAGCAGTTTGCATTCTCCCCGAGAAATAGAAACTTGAAGAAGCGTCAAAAGAAAATACAGGTTAGGTAATTTAACTTTTAATTAAGAAGTGAAAAAAGTTTATTGAATTTAACGATATTTTTAATTTTTTAAGGAGATTTAAAACAAAATTAATGTCAATTTTCTTTTTAACAGAAAGTAGCTGCATTGTCTGGAGTTAATTGACAGGGAGGATCCCAGTGCCCAAGTCCATCCCTGTTTTAAACTAACTCTTGAACAGACATTGGACTTCTCCCCCTACACTGTAAATAATTGCATACAAAACAATATGAGAGGACAATATGATAATTGCCGTTTGTTAACATTGGTTAAGAGAGTGAGATATGCGAGAGAAATACCTTCTGTTTTGATAAATGCTGACAGAACTGTTGAGTTCTGCCAGTTGTTCTTTTAGAAGTTGGAGGCTCGAGTTGACGAAACTTAATTCTAAGGCAACAGTTTCTCGTAGTTTCTTGTTCGTGGTCACTCTGTAAAATACAAATTTAAGTCAATAACAATTGTCTAAGAAGAGGGTGGAAATGCAAGATCATATAATACTACACATAGCTGCCAACATGGATAGGAAAAAATCCAGTAGAGTTGGCAGCTATGACTACATTATTAGAACGTTCAGAGTGTCTCAGCCAAAAATTAACTTATTGAGCAAATTAAGCCATTTTAATCTAAATCACATGGAAACAAATTTTTTTTTTAATGTTAGCGATATTATGGTACAGATTCGAAATTGTTCAGATTTTTGGTACCTGTATGCCAAAGCATCAATGGGGACTTGCTAAAGGCTTAAAATGTATAGCGATTTATACGGTGGCTAAGAATTATAACACTCAAATTAGTCCCTCTTCTAAGATTTTTCTTTTTAAAGCTTTAAAACTTGATGAATACTTTAGTTATGGTAGCGATTTGGAAATCTGTCACAATTTCTTTAAATTTGCGCAATCAGCCAGGTAGGTTATTTCTTAATTAGGTAACTTAATACCACATATTGCAAAAAACGATGTCATAAACACATAGCTTTAAACATTGTAAAATATTGTATAATATAAAAAGGAACACAAATTCTAATATTGTCAAACATTCCAAAATAATGTTGTTAGAGGTTTTAAAAAATACTGCGGGATGCTGATCAATTATATTCCTGCATTTACAAACGCTGTGGAAAATTGACTGACATCCTTAACACACAAAATGAATGCTGTCATTATCACCATTGCGTTATTTGTAAATATATATATATATACCTTTGAAAAAAAATTTTCAGGTCTGTTTATACTGCGGAAATAAGAAAAACCGGTAATAAAACCATTTCTTGCTTTGGTTTTAAAAGAAATAAAATATCCCTTATTCAAAATATTTTTACAGTATGATAATATATAAACGTATACAGAGTTTCCCCTCAAATTCAGAAAAAAAAATTCTCTGAGTTTTCCAGGTATACCAGGTGAATTTCAATGAAAATTGATACCATATTTTCAGTTCAAATTGAGACCATAACATTTGAATTCTTCTTACTGTGCAGGATAAATTCAAAATAAAAATTATTTATTTAAATCACATATTTATTGTAAAAGAAAATTGAAGCAAAATTTTTAATGCTTGTTTTTATTAGAAATACAACAGTTGAACAATTTTCTCACAATATACACTACTGGCCGCTAAAATTGTTAAACCAGGAAGGAATGCAAATAACAGAATGATATTTATTGGGCAAATACATTATAGTTGGAAGAACAAGTGATTAAATTTTCAGGATATTTTAATGCATCCTGAGGAATGAGCACTCAGAGTAACCTCCCCTGGCAGCAATAACAGCAGTTATTCTCCTGGGCATCGAATCGAACACAGATTGGATAGCATGGACGGGTACAACATTCCGTGCAGCTTCGACATTATGCCATTATTCATCGACTATAGTGACTGACGAATGGTGGCGTGCCAGTCGTTTGGCAACCATTGACGAGACCTTTTCGATTGCTGAGAGATCAGGTGAACGCGCTGGCCAGGGCAACTCGCAAACATATCACAGCAACACTTTGAAAACCTTAGCATATCAACAGGCATGATATCTAATTACACAAAAACTTAACATCTTGAATAGTAATCTCACTAATATTTAAATTGCATAAAAATACTTTAAATGTATAATATTATGATGGAAAACTATTTTTCATTGTTTGAATTTCAGTTGAAAATAAATTTGATAACACAAAGTTCAAAATAGATAAAATTTAAATTGTTATTTTGACCAAAATATCGCGTTTTTTTCTAAATAGCTTAGGTAATGTAAGTAGTTACGACTGCACACGCAGAAGAGTGGACAATATTAAAACATTGTAAATGGGGGTGGGGACAGTCATGTCCAATTGAAAATGGAAAAAAAAATGGTCACCGCAGCTGCAGAATGAGCCTCCAGAACAAGACGGAAACAGATGTTGAGGACATCTCATGATTTATAAAGGAAGAATACAGCATCCATGGGAACATGGAGGACTTTGCGACTCGACAGATTTAACGTGCGTCAGTCACCATTTACTACAGGGAGAATCTTCGGCTGGTGGGGATCGAACCCACGAACTCTTGGACATGCATCCTACCGACCAGGCTATCCCGGTCATGGAGATTCATTTGTAAGATTTTTCCTAATTTCTATCGCTCGAAAGTGATCACTCGCTTAACGATAATGTTTTATTAAATATTGATGTGTTTTTTCTGGCCTGTTCCTGCCTTTCAAGCTCACCTAAAAGAAATATAACTTATTTATAGATAAGCCCATTCTGACAGATGAAAACTTTCAAATAATATCATTTTTCACAAAATAAAAGAATCAATTCATGAATAAACTACCTTTAATTTTTCAGAAACGTAATCTTTACTTATAAAACGAATCCTTACTGCGCAGTAAAAATGTCTTTTTGAAATCGAAATATCATTCACTTTAATAAACGTTTTGAGATTTTAATAATATCTTACAGTGTCATCAGTAACAAAGAATAATGGATATTATGGATCATATGATTTGAAAAAAGATAATAATGAGTATTATCTTTGTTTAAATACGCTGTATGTAAATAAGTAATAAAAATAAAAATTAAAGTTAATTTCTACTTAGGTGAACAAAGAAAAATTTTATTTCAGTTACTTTTTATTAAATAATGAAATTGAAAAAGAAGATGTAAAGAATCTTTTCTGGGGTCTACTTATAAATATTTTGTTCATATTTCCTTTCATCTTTTTCTTAATAAACTTTCACTAAAATTGATGTGGGACAGAAAGGGGATTAAAGGGGATCTTCTCTACAGAAAGGGGATTAAAATTGAATTAAAAACTTGATAGATAAAAAGCGAATTTTGACTCATTACGTAAATTCTGGGAAATTAAGGTAAAACGGACTCTGGACCACTACTGTGAACTTAAGAAAATTACTTTTTTTTAACTCCGCATAAGCTGCAAGTATATAGCACTCATAAAATAAGTTTAAATATAGAGAAAACATTAAAAAAATATTAAAGGTTAAGAAAAAAGAAGAAGAAATTTATTAAAATAAAATATTTTTTAGAAATACAGTCAAACCCCGCTATAGTGAACACGGTTTATAGTGAACGAAATGCTAGGTCCCGTGCCTTGCTATACACGTATAATGTTATTTTTTGTGGATATAGTGAACCAAAAAAGTGAGGAAGTTGGATATAATGAACTTTTTTCTGTCTTCGACTGATTTCCCCCCCCATTTTCTTTGTAATAATTTTGAAATTTCTACTTCAAAATAAATACATATACCGATTTTTAAAACCATCTATAGAAACTACTTTTATGTGCTCGAATGGTAGGTTAGACAGGTTTAAAAAGTGGAATGACAGAAATTCAGGAAAAATTATCTGAGAGTCGGGAAGTGTTTCCATATCTGATGTTGAGGATTGCTCATCAGCTAAAGATTACTAA